CTGTGTCTTGCATTTTGAGGTATGTTAGTCTTCTCTACCAACAAAATTTCACAAAGTTGGTTTTTCTATACTGACAAAATTTCTGCACACAGAAGAATGCAACCAATATGTCAAGTCATTGCTTATGACTAGTTTGTGGTTTAATAATTAGTGTTATGATTTCAGTTTCATAAAGGCAGCTTTTGGTGACAAAAGGCAGTGGGCCTTAACTGCATTGTTCTACAGTCACACAGCATTTTCATGTAGAGTTCTCTGCATCCAAGACTGGAGTAAGGGCTTAAGACAGGGTTAGAGGAGTAAGAATATTTTTGAAAAAACAGATGGATCACTGGGAGATCCTGGCAGAATCTAATTTCTTCTCAGATTTCTATGCTATGCTTCAGGATATCTTCAGAACTCTCCCTTGGTCTGGCATTCTGAATCATTTGGCCATGTTTTCAATGGCTTTAGGAATTTTGTATTCCATTTTAGAATTTTCCAAGGTCTGCATTTATCATCTCTTTTGGTGATATTAACCAGTGTATCTCAATGCAATGAAACACAGTTTCTTGATGATTTTAGGCATGCATGTTGACCATGCAGAATGAATGGGGCAGTTGCAGATGAATGGAAAAAACCTGAAAACTAACAGGTGAACATGTATTGATAATGGAATTATTTCAAGAAATTCAGAAAGGAAGGGAAAGGAAGGAAAGAGTAATTTAATAAAACATAGTTACTCAATTTGGCACCTCCAGGTTCCCAAGGATCAAGAAAGGTTTAGAGAATATACCCGTCTGGAAGTCAGATAAAAATTTTATTGTCTGTCTCCAACAAGAACAGAATTAAAATAGGAAACTTCTAGCCTACATCTCCTGTTTTCTAATGACTGAATTGTATAAGGTATATTTTCCTGAGACCAACTACAAATCCAACCATTTCCCCAAAGAGATTCAAAATGTACCCATTCCCATGTGCTGAAAGTTACTCTTTCAACAGCAGCACTTTCTCAGCCAGCTTGAATAGCGTTATTCTAAGTCATATCTATACAGAAGCGGTTCAGCGTCTTTGCATTAAAAAAAAAAAAAAAGCTTAACTAAGCAAAAGCAATAGCTTGAAAAGGAGCTTCTCATTTCACCAGGAGGTCCTCCTTTCTTCAATAGCCAGGGAAATAAATGGAACGTCTTTGAAAAGTTGCTCAAAGTGATGAGTTTGCTTTTATAACAGCAACAGCGCGTCGTGTCTCTGTCTTTACCTCCTTCTCTCTCAAGAGACTCGGTGGAGAGAGGCGAAAGGTTGGAAAATCTCTGCCTTGTATGAATTGGGGCCTTGGCAGACACCGTTCTCTCCCATAAGAAACACTGCCTTGCTTTTTGGGGTGTGTTTTGCATCTCTCCCCGCCCCCCACGTGTACCCCATTCCTATCTGTGCTGTTAAACCAAATGTAGTGTTTTGGTTTGCAAATAGGCAAGCATT